ACTCAACAGCTCTCAAAAGAATGCTCCAACCCAGCTTACAACATCTCTGCATATCAGACATCCCTAGACTTACTCAGTTATGAGAAGGAAAGTATTCAAAAACTGCCATTCGTTACAGGTAATTCAATGCTGAAGTCCTTTAAGAACTTTAAATTAATTCTATGAATATAATTTCCCATACTTTAATCTGAATTCTATTTAAAAGTATATACAGCTTTAATCATGAGATCATAATGGAAGCACTGCTCATTTCACTAAGAGTTAATTAACCGTAAAGCTATAGTCTTAAAAATATTTAAGAATCAGAGTTTTACGAATTAAATTTATTTTTGGTTATAATACAAAACATTTCTTCTGCTACCTAATACTTTTAGACTATCCCTTTTAAATAAAAAATGCATTTGTTATTTCTATGTGCATTTCTATACTGACTCTAGGCTTAAATAATAAAATAGTAATACATCCAATTTTCTCAGGTACACTCAAATAAGACTGAAAAACATAATTGTAAAGGTTAATTTATTCATCTGACTCCCTCTCATCAATAAGAAAATAATCAATTTGAGGCCAGGAGTTACACGTTACTAAAGTTTGTATTCCTAGTACCTAGAAGTATGACTAACACGAAGTACTCACTTAAACGTTTGAGCGTTAAGTAAATGGGGTAACAAACTGGCCTTATGATGATTCTGTGACCCTCAGGGGGAAAAAACTATAAGGCCTGAACAACAGATCACTATATAAAGTGATCGTTACTTATTGAAAAACAGTATTTTTAAGCTTGGACCTAACTTGAAGCCTGTCAGCAGTTTAAAAAAGGATAAAGAAAAGATTTAATCACTCAGAAAATGTACTGGTACTTTTCATAAGAAATAGGTATTTGTGATACATTAAAATAAGACAATAAGCATTTTCAAATAAGAGTCTGTACAGCATAATGATTAAAAGCTCAGGTACTAGAGTTTGAGTTTAAATCCTAGTTCCACCACCTACTCGTAGTTATGACTTTGGTGCCTCAATCTCTTCATACGTACAACAGAGGACATAATGCTGAGTCCACAGGAATTTATAGGAACTAAATGAGCCAATATATGTAAAAAGCTTCAAAAAGTGCCTGGTACAGGTTAAGTGTGCTTAAGGAAGAGTGATATCTGTTGCTATTCCTATTAACTTTTGGTTGCTCCATCATACAGTTCACAACACTAAACTAAAAATTCAAAGATACTGAGAATCTTGGGCTAGATGTGTAATTTCTCGTCATCACTTTTTTTATATCTATAAAGTTAAGTGGTTGGAGTACAGCAGCAGCTTTCACACTTCTGACCATAACATACAGTACAAACTCTTTTTAGATCACGAGCCAGTGTACACAAACATATAACTATATAACTAAATTTTTTATATATTCATATAACTAAATTTCTGTTCTCAAAATAATATTGTCTTACTATGGGCAATGCACTCTGAATTTTCAAGTGTATTCTACTTCATTTATTTTTAAAGCTGGTTGCAACACACAAAACTGATTTTAAAAAACTAACAACGAGGACACAATATCTCTGAGGACCCTTCCAATACAGTACTTCCCCATTATCCACAGTTTTGCTTTCTTCAGTTTCAGTTACCCATGGTCAACTGTGGATAGAAAAGATTAAATGCAAAATTCCAGAAACAACTCATAAGTTTTAAATTCTGTGCTGTTCTAAGTAGCGTGATGATATCTTGCTCTGTGATTCACCTTCACTGCATCTCATCATGTAGGCACTGTATCACCTCACATCATTACAAGAAGAAGGGTGAGTAAGGTATAATAAGATATTGGGAGAGAGAGAGAAACTACACTCATAACATTTATTACAGTATATTGTTATAATTGTTCTATTTTTATTATTATTGTTGCTAATCTCTTACTATGCCTAATTTATAAATTAAACTTTATCATAGGGATGTACATACAGGAAAAAACATAGTATACATAGGGTTCAGCACTATCTGCGGTTTCAGGCATCCACTTAGGGTCTTGGAACATATCCCCTGTGGATAAGGGGGGACTACTGTACTCATTTTCGAATTAGCTTTCAATAGCAGTGGATAGCTGTCAGTTTCACCTACACTGCCTCAAACCCTATCACAGCCTTCAGTGAGTTTTAGGGACTCTAGTATTCTAATGAATATCTGAGTGCTTATGATAATCACAACTGAACCAAGTACACTTTTCAAATTCTGATGAAGTTTTCACGAGTTTGTTTTTTTAAACTGTAGTCTCTTTTGTTTCCAGAGTGATTCAGAAAATAGCTTTTATCTTCAAACAACTGTAGAGGTCACTTTTTTTTTTAAATAAACAGCTTACTTTCCAGTGACATTCTGAGTACTTACAAGTCAATGAAAGAATAGCTAAGATTTAGAAAATTACTTGGAACTTTTTAAGTGACAGGTAATTTACACTCTCCAGAAAAATTTATCTGACATTCAACAAATGCTGCCTGATTGTTTTTTTTATTATTATTTATTTATTTTTCCCTCAAAGCCCCAGTAGATAGTTGTATGTCATAGCTGCACATCCTTCTAGCTGCTGTACGTGGGACACGGCCTCAGCATGGCCAGAGAAGCAGTGCGTCGGTGCGCGCCCGGGATCCGAACCCGGGCCGCCAGCAGGGAGCGCGCGCACTTAACCGCCAAGCCACGGGGCCGGCCCTGCCTGATTGTTTTGTTCTTTGCTTAAGAATCACATTTAGGGGCCGCCCCGTGGCTTGGCGGTTGAGTGCGCGCGCTCTGCTGCTGGCGGCCCAGGTTCGGATCCCGGGCATGCACCGACACACCGCTTCTCCGGCCATGCTGAGGCCGCGTCCCACATACAGCAACTAGAAGGCTGTGCAACTATGACATACAACAATCTACTGGGGCTTTGGGCTCCGGCCATGCTGAGGCCACATCCCACATACAGCAACTAGAAGGCTGTGCAACTATGACATACAACTATCTACTGGGGCTTTGGGGGAAAAAAAATTAAAAAAAAAAAAAAAGAATCACATTTAAAGATCAACATTTATTTAACTGTTCTGGGACTCTTTTCAAACTCAATCCAGATTTTAATCTAGTTTGGTAGGTATACTACATAATGTGAAAAATCCTAAAATAAAGAGAAAAAAATTCCTGACTTCACAAATTCCATTCCAAGCTCCATTCCACTCTTTGACTTTGGGCAAGTTACTTTAACTCCCTCTACCTCAGGTTCTCCATTTGTAAAATGGAGATAAGACGACTACCTACTTGGGATTGTTTCATGAATTATTCTCATCACTCTGAATGGTGCCCAGCAGAAAAGCATCCAATAAACCATGACCAAGGTTCTTCTCTTGTATTATGCCAAATTAACGTAAAGACTGAAAGTTCCTCACCCGGTTATAAACATTTACCTAAAAGCTACTTGCAGAGTAAGGGTTGGACTTCAGCCCCCACTTATCCTCTAAAATGCAAACCAAGGTTAGCTACACAAAAATGAAGGGGAGAGGAAGAAACAGATGACAATAAGATACAGATTTTTAAGTATCTACTTATGTGGCTTTTGATAATGGGGGGTGAACCAGTTCAATTTCATCAGCAGGAAAAATTTATTTATTAGTATCCCTCACTAATTCCAAAAGAGATCTGAGACGGAATCACTTACTGTTTTATGGCATAATAGCACCAACATGTAAACATAAAAAAATCTAATTCATTTTCAGCGTCCTAGTGAGGGAGAGAGGTGGAATGTGTCTTTGAATCTATCTCATGAACAGAAATACCAGTTTTATTCTATCATGGCGTAAACATCCACAAGGCCTAGGAAGCTGGTCTGTATAGAGTCCTTATCTACTGACTGAAATTATACACAGTAAAAAATTCAAATATAGTATGTAATTTTCAAGGATAACCATTTGCCATTAGTTATAAATTATATTTTCATTATAAATAGCATGGCATAAATGTGATGACATATCCTGAACCCCTCGCTAGGAAAACCAAACTTCTCTGTGGCTGTTCAATAACACCATCATTCATTTATGACATCACAATGGAAATGGGAAATGCTATCACTAAAAATTTATTCTTGTCTTTTCATTAACATTAAGGCTAAGAGACGTGTCAGGTCATCCTAGGTACCTCCTTACTCCGTAAGATTATCTTCAGCCCATTTTTCTAAAGTCCATTTTAAAGGCAGTACAGAATTTCCAGCCAATACTACGTTTATTCACTGATCAATTTCTCAGATCAAGTAAATGTACACAGTGAACCCTAATTAAGGGAAATTTTCTCATTAAGGGAAAAAAAACCTTGCTCTACTCTAAAATTTACAGATAAATCAAAATTTTTTTTTATTTTTAGCAGGAGTGAATCATACCCATCATCTTATTCTATGAATATGTACATCTACTTCCTTATAAGTCTTTTCCCTACAATTATGTTTTCATTTATTGTTCTTTTTAATTCAGGATATTTGTTAAAATTTTTTGTGTGTGTGAGGAAGATTGGCCCTGAGCTAACATCCATGCCAATCCTCCTCTTTTTTTGCTGAAGAAGACTGGCCCTGGGCTAACATCTGTGCGCATCTCCCTCCACTTTATATGGGACGTGGCCACAGCATGGCCTGACAAGCGGTGCCTCGGTGCGTGCCCGGGATCCGAACCCGAGCCACCAGCAGCGGAGCACGCACACTTAACTGCTACGCCACGGGGCCGGCCCCTGTTAAAATATTTTTAAAGTTTTAAAACTTTATTTTGAATATTTCTACAAAAGACCCATTTTGCTAAAGACTGTGTGTGTGTACTTTTTAAAATATACCTCTGAGGTTACTGGCAGTGCAGAATGGCCTTCAGCATGCAAAGACTGCTTAGGTTTTTGAATCAGACTTTTTAAAATCTCTTCCACATCAAAACCACGTCCGAAAAGCCAACAAAAATTATAATATGCGCCAAAAGTCATGGGCTTCACGTGAGTGAGTTACAAAGAGCGAGTCTTGCCTTGTCCTCTCTCCCTCTTGCTCTATAATCCTTGTCCCTACTTGCGGAGGGTTTTTCACTCTTTGATATCGGATGTGCTCGGCCTACAGGCCCCCGGGCTCCACCTCCTGGCATTTCTTTCCTCAGAGGCCTTACTTCTCGATTGGGACGCCTTATCTGAGGCGGAGCTCTGACAAGAAAAAATAAACATAAAATTAATCAAAGGCAAAAGTATTTCAATACTACCTTAGTCAATAAAACTATTAAATTAAGAAGCCCAAAATCTCAATTTTTCTCCCTTTTGCCAATTCATGGTCAGTTGACAACTATTAGGTCAGTTTTTAAAAGTGCTTTTCTGTAAAATATACTGGTTAATACAATTATTAAATATACACAAATGATACATATAGCAGCAATTATTTTGTCAAAAATAACTAATAATCACCAATAGAGGGCAATACAGGCTATCGCCATCTAATAATCTTAATAACACAATGGAAAGTCAATTACTTTATTCATTACTGTCCTAAACCAAGAATAAGTAACTTAAAAAAAAAAAAAAAGCATTAAAAGCTGAAAGGACAAAAATTCAAAAATATATCTATTTTACACAGTTTACTAATTTATTTTTACAACCAAAATGATTTTCTCTGCTTCTGTATTGGAAAAATCCAATTTAATTCATCAAATTACAAACTGCAGAGCTTAACAATGAAATCTTATAAACAAAGTAATTTATGTGTAAAAATATCATCCATGCTTTGAGGGTGTCAAAAATATAGGATCATTCCAATTATATAGGCCCCTAAATGGAAATTAAGAATTTTGATAACTATATATGGTGACAAATTTTAACTAGACTTATTGTAGCGATCATTTTGCAATATATACAAATATTGAATCATTATGTCACACACCTGAAACTAATATAATGTCGTATGTCAATTATACCTCAATAAAAAAAAGAATTTTGACATATATAAATGTAACCATGCACAAGGAGCGGCATATTTTGTTTCATGTAATGAGAAACATCTCTTCTTCAAATAGTGTAGTTCTAAGGTTTCTCAGCACAGTATTTGTCTCTCTGTGGGGGCTGGGGGGACTCTATCACTGTGTTTAATCTCTCAGTTCTTCTTCCTTGAACTGTCTCTGCCTCTGTTTTCCTACCTTTGCTGTCTCTACAGCTCTGCCTGTATTTTAGCCCTTCAGATCCCATATGTGTATTCCTTTTTCACCCATATGCCATATCTATTATTATCTCTCTTCCAGCTTCATGCTTTTAATTCATCTAACTCATCATGGAGTTTCTCTTCCTGGTATCAGAAAAAGTGACACAAGTTTATAACTCAAGGAACCCAGCAAAAAAGGGGAATGGATGAAAAGCCAGGAAGGTTGCAAACTCAACACAAAAAAGGTAAAAAAATTGTTAACATATTGCAGGTCTAATATAGCACCTTCAGACTGTTGGAATTAGACCACTACACGAAACTTAAGGACTTAACAGAGGCTGGTGAAAACTGTATATCTATCTATTAGGTTACCACATATTGATATCTGAATAATTGGAGTTCAGCCCAGTTAAACAATTATTTACTGAACACCCATTAGGAGGTATATAGCCTCCACTGTGCTAGGCCCTAGGAGGAGACAAAGATGAATAAGCAATCTTGTGAGAGAAATCCATAGGAAAGGAAGTAGAAAATAGTGCACAGTAAAATAGTTATGAGGCATTTTCAAATTTAAAGGTATTATTGCACTATTAGTTCTAGTGCATTATTAGTCTTTTAAGCATTCTGATAATAAAATTAAAATGCCCACGGTTTGAGCCAGCCCTGATGGTCTAGTGGTTAAAGTTCAGCGCTCTCACAGCTTCGGCAGCCTGGGTTCCCTTCCTGGTCGAGGAACCACACACCCCCATCTGTCAGTTGCCATGCTGTTGTGGTGGCTCACACCAGAACAACTTACAACTAGCATATACAATCATGCACTGGGGCTTTGAGGAGAAGAAAAAAAGAGGAAGATTGGCAACAGATGTTAGCTCAGGGTGAATCCTTCCCTGAAAAAAATTTAAAAATAAATAAATAAAAATGTGATGAGTGATAAAAACTAAAAAACTAAAAATGTTACATTGCTCTATTCCTAGTATTTCACTGCAATCACTATTTTTTGATTGAATGTTTGTTTTGTTTTGATGAAGGGGTGGAAAGTAGCAGAGCAGAACTTTACATTTATTTATACACATTTGCGTATGTATAAATGTCTTTCCTGAATCAGATTCACGTGTATGGCCAAAGACAATAAAATGACACCAACAATCTCTTCCACACAGAACACACGTCAAGCCTGCCCTTCTGTTAGCAGCTGCGTCTGCTATTTAAATAGTCTGTCATTGTTTGTGGTCCTGCTTTTTCGACGCACAGCCAGCCTGAAGCTTTTGCTCACCAACAGCGCCCACCCCTTACAGCTGCATGCCAGGCTGCTCGTCAGCTGCAGGGCTTACCGCGCTAGGCCTCGTTGCTTAGGGGTGAATTGCAGTGAATCTTGAAACATTTCTTCTGCCTTCTCAGCTTGCGCTTCCCCACCTCAGCTTGCTATTTAACACTTGCTTAGGAGTCCTGCTGTAGTTCATTTTGCACTCACATCCACCTCAGTAAAGCTGTGTTGTGAGAATTATTATTTCAAAGCTCGTACACAGGCTGCATTCCAAGTGTTTGCTGCTGCCGACCTTGTCCTGCCACTCAATATTCTGATGGGCTCATAAATGGTCTGAATGAAACTGCTCAAGAAGCCAGATGTGCCATTTGTGGCAAGCCCCATGTCTCACAAGTGTGCCTGTGCATTGTAAGTCTTCAGTTCCATCTCACTGCAGTTTGATATTACATTTGTGACAAACTCTGTCAACTTTCCAAAGGACATCCTTGATGCTGTTCTGTACTTCTTCCTCCTTTAGCGCATCACTGCACAATATCATGCTTCAATTTAAGGACCCAGTGACAGCTTCCAGGCTGTGTAAAAAATAAGTCTCAAGGCTTCTTTTACTAGTCTCTTTTTAAAAAGAGACTTTAGTAGGGTTATACAGCATCATCAACCTCTGCCCTAATGGTCAAACACAGACCAACACTGTACTAGCTTACAGTATTTCAAATATAGACAATAACTGGCAGATCTGCAGATAAAAGACTAGAATGTCTACACCACGTTCAATTCTCCTATTTGAGGATATTTCCCTATAAGAATGGAAAAAATACGCCTTATTCTATCATGCAAGTAAGGCTGATTTCCTCCAAGATCCAATACATCCTCTTTCTAAGCTATATTAAATATCAGTATCTTATGTAAATGTTCTTATCAGCACTGTTTGTAACAGCAAATACTGGAAACAACTCAAATGTCTAGTATCAGACTAGATACATAAATTATTGTATATTCACATAATGGGATACTATATTAACATGAACATGAATTACAGCAACAGGCAATAACAATACATGAATCTCAGGACCATCCTGTTGAGTGAAAAAGTAAGTTCAATGAACACATACAGCATAACTCCAAGCAAAATGGAATTACTGTTTGGGAATACAAATGTATGTACTAAAAGTATAAATAAAGGCAAGGGAATGATAAACCCCAAATTCAGGATAGTGTCTAACTCTGAAAGGGGAAGAAAGGGAATTGGATGCAGAGGAGCTCAAAGGGGGACTTCATAGGTACCAGTAAAGGTTTTTATCTTAAACTCCGTGGTGAGTACATAGATGCTATTGTATTGTGATTCCTTGTAACTTACATAAATTTTAATTACTCATATTATCTACTCAGTAGTTAATAAAACTTTAAATATGATTATACTTCAACCACACTAATTAAAATATCTGAGCACCTAAAAAATGAAATTACAGGGTTGCTATAAAGTTTTTGGTATGTTCTAGAAACACACATGTTCTAGTGATGTGAGCTCAGAGTATGCATCTTCAGTTGAACCTACTGGATGACCGCCTGGCAAATCTTTATAAAAGATCAGGCAACACAAATAAGACTGTCTCATAGCACCACTCTTCCATCATTCAAAGGGAAAGAGACCTCTTCTGAAGATGCCTTTATTTCACATCAAACTAAAAATGGGTCTAAGATACTTTCACAATTTTCTCCAATCACTATATAGACAACTTCTTAAGATTCCCATCTACTGAGTTCTTTCGCTTTCTTCAAGCTTTCTGTTTAATGATTATTTTAAATTCTTTGGTTATATCTATTTGTTTATACATTGTTAGAATTCAGGTATAAGAAAAAATAATTTGGAACAGGTCCTATATATGCCCAAGAACATAAGCCAGATTACTTAAAGTTAACTTCTGGAAAAGAAAGAAAAATAATCTTATTTTGCTATCACATTAATCTATATAACTCCAGAATTAAACAAACAGGAAAACATCTCTCTTCAGAGCTAATAAAAAGACAAAAAAGTTAAGTTCCAAGTAGTCCATACTGATATTTTTACTATAAGGATTTGAAGTCAATATATGAGACTTCTGAGTCCAAGAGAAATTATTTAGCAAGAAATCAGGAGGCAAAAAAACAAAGCTTAAATAGAAATTACAAGACCTATGATTTTAAATTAAACATTCATGATTAAGAATTTTAATGTCCACTCCCATAAAATATATGACTGCTATTTTTTCAAATCAGTAAATTACTTATTGTTTACCTAATAAGTACAGGAACTATGTTGGATGTTATATTGACATAAAAATGTTGCAAACACTATTCCTACCTTCACAGAGAAACAGCACAGTGATCTGGAGTCAGCACTAGATTTAGAATCTCAAAACCTGGGTGCCTTTTTACTCCCAAGTCCACCAATTACTGATTAAATGAGCATATCACTTAACAACTACAAGCCTCACGTTCTTCTTCTGTAAATGGAAATGATAATACTTCACAGAATTTTTTAAATCTATTTTTCATTGATATATAACATATGTACAGTAAAATGTACATATATTAAGTATACTACTCAATAAATTTTGGTACCATATAACCACCAATAGATCAAGACAGAACATTTCCCAATATCCCAGAAAGCTTTTTCATGGCCCTTTTTAGTCAATATCAACCCCTAAAGGTGACCACTATTCTGACCTTACTATCATAGATTAGGTTTGCCTATTCTAGTTCATATAAATGGAA